CCCGCACACACACACACCTAGTTGCATAAAATATACCACCCCTGGGCGCTCCGTTGGTTCGGCTGAGTATCATGCTGCGGACTATGGAGCAGATACGGCTCTGGTTCGAATTCTGGTCGTTTCGTGGTTTTCACGGCTCTCAAATTCATTTGTCTCCGTCCTGTCGACGATGGACATTAGATTCAGAAGTCCAGCCTCTTAAATGACGTAGTGTTGAAAGGGGTGCACAACCTATGTACACCAACTTTACTTCTACCCCCCCCAAAAAAAAATTTACCCTGTCTGTAATGCCAGAGCAAAAAGAGAGAATGTCAAGCTCAGCCTGTTTGAACAGTTTTAGTAAGTGGATGAGGGCTCCAGTGACTTAATGAGCAGCGAGTTCAAACTCAATAGAAAATGTCAGTGACAAGGGGATGAGATGGGTGGTCACTGGGGTGGGTCCTTGAGCAAGACACGACAACCGAAGCTAAAAAAAAAGGGCACTGCACAGTGGCGACCAGCACAGGCATGGTTGGGCAATTGTTCTGAATTTGTATAATTGTGTATTTATTTATATTATATGTATTTATGTATGTATGTTTGCCATTGTTAGCCAACTTGCCCTTCAGGGATGAATAAAATGTAAGTTATTTATTTTATTAATTCATTCAATATAGGTCTATATGTGAGACGTGTTGACAAAATGAGTAACTTCTTGCAATCCACAAATGGAGATATTAGCCAAAAATCAAACCAGGTTCAAATTTGTAGATTTTCTATTGATGCCATATATTCTTTACTCATAACATGCCTTTTATTATTTCATACTTATAAAGTGTAAAAGCTTCACCTATGAGCATGATGTATCTATTTCCATAGTGTTCAAATCCGAGAAGTAACTCATTTTGTCAGCACGCTTCACATATTACAAACAAATGAATAATTTTTAAAAACCACAAACTGACTCTTTGAAATTTTAATCTCCATACAATACATGTAATAACTACAGATGTCTTAGAAAAAAGAGATTGTGAAACATTTGTAAGGCTGGACAGGCATTGGCAGATGGGAAACAGGCAAAAGCAAGCGTTGTCAAAAACTTTCATATCAGTTGGGACCTGTAACCTCTATCTCAGTAACATCTACAAAAAGGCCAAGACCAGATAACTATAGTATAATATAATATAGATATATCATTGCCCTGCCGTTCAATTTACTATGTCCAAACTTTCTCAAAAGATTTTTATCTTAATTTCTTGCAGTTTCTAAATCCTGCTAAATATGTGGTGCTTTGCATAATCCAGAAATAATATTTGGTCTAAATTCAAATTCTAAATGTAAAAAAGGAAGAAAAAAATACGCAACATAGATACAATTTGAGCGAGAATTAAAGCAGTTTTCTTCTATGTCCTGAGCAATTTTTGCTTTCTTGGCTTAGAACATTTGAACGGCTTTCTGCCAATAATATACAAACGCTTTTCTTTCTGAGGCAAAAAAAAAGAAAATAAATAAATTTTAAAAATGACTCGATACCCGAACAACAAACACCACTAACATCCTCAGCGAGGATAGGATTTACAAAATCAACAAAAACTATTGTGCACACTTTTATTTCAGACCAAACAATTACCACTCTACTTTTTACTTCAAAGTAAGTATCCATGCCCTATGATAAAGAAAATGTAGAGCTTTGCTTTGACATGCTGGAAACTGGAGATTCCTCTAATGACACAAAAGGACAGGCCAAATTGTGTCCTAGAATTCCTAAAATGGTGGAGTCTGGTGCCTGTCAACTTTTGGGCAAATGACGTTACTGGTCTTGGAACTGTATAAACTTGAAACTTGAAGTTTGCTCATTTGTCTTGCTGTTATTGAAAAAAAATACCCATTGAATCTTGAATGGAAGTCGAGATATTTGTGATTAAAGGAGGTGGGTGGGGGTCGCCAGGTGTGACAGGTAATAAAAAAAAAAATGAACCCCAACTTTGGTGACTTCAAATGCTAGATGTTGTCCCTGGAAACTGCAAACTTACAATATTGGTACCTTTGATAAATATTTTTCAGTAAAATCCACAGAGAAATGCGTTATTAAATGGACATGATAAAAGGTGTTGATTAAAAAAAATAATTAAAAATTACCCCACGGGCAGAAAAATGTCGGTTTCTGTGATTTCATTATTTTTACAAGTGCCTGATTTCACCATGATGTCTCACAATGTTGCGCATACATATACTGCAACGTCTAAACTAATTCCTCTTGTAACTCAGTGCACATGGTAGGTGTCAATTATCACAACATTTAAGGAGGAAAGTTGTTGAATAAAAAAAGTCAAATAAAAAGAAAAATGTGACAGCCTTTCACCCTTACAAACTGATATTGAGGGACAATAAAGAGAACATATATTTGAAATTGTGTAAATTACACTGTTAAACAAAAAATAGCACATTGTGTGCAAGTTGATTTGAGCGAGAAAAATGGAAAACGTGTGAACATAAAATGATTTACCCGTAATATAAGGACAAGAAGTGTCTTTTCCTGAAAAAAAAATTTTTTTTTAATGTAAAAAGAATTTTACTCGCCGCTGACACAATTTAGATAACTTAGAAGGCATGCTTCTGACCCTCTCTGTAAGGGCCAACCCATGCTAAGAGGGATACAACATCGCAGCAGAAAGACCGAGATATTAGATACAAATTTTCTCCCCGCTCGGGAACTGAACTTGGGGCTCCTGAAGATGACAACTAAGAGCATAAGCTACACCACATATATATATGCTGGTTAGAAAGGAGATATAACATAAAACAACATAAGAAACATCTCCACAATTTCAAAGTAACAATTTAAAATAATTCCCTCAGCAATTAATAATCAAGTAAAATTGACTTGAAAAAAATGAATGAAAACCAATTCCCTGTTACATGACATCACAATAGACAAACAAAAACTCCACAGCCCAAACTTGCAGCAAGCTCACACTGCCAGTGGAATTCTTTTTAAGTCTGTCAAGGTCATCGGGGTCAGAAAGATTTTCCTTCATGGATGGAACAAAAGCTACCATTTTGGAGCAATTCGACTTCATTCGATCGTAAGCTTCAAAATCAAACGCATAAAATGTTTTTCAAGGTCGCGGGTTGAATCAGTTGTAGTGTGCCAAAATTGTCACTTTTTCCGTGGGACAGAGGGACGTCTGACTGACAGTGACTCCGTTTGATTTAATCTTATTGACAGTGATGAGCTCAAAGCCTGTGTATTTTAATCGGGGTTGAGCGCTATATAAATGCTATTTATTATAATTTATTATGACCGACTGGACGAACAACACAAAATGTCAAGGGCACCAACTGTCCGGGCCACGACAGCCGACCATCATTCAGAATCTTCCTCATCCAGGACGGCCAGGGAGGCAAGGCTGGGTTCTCCGTCCACACGCTCCGAGCGGGCTCGCCACACAGAGCCCGAGAACATCACTGGGGGGAGGGGGGGAGGGGGGGGGGGGGGAACGTGGGGAGGGAGAGAGGGGGGAAGAGGGAGGGGGATGTGGGGATGTGGGGAGAAGGGAGGGGGGGAGGGAGAGGGGATGAATGGAGGCGGAGGGGGGAGGAAAGGGGGGAGGGAGGGGAAACAAAGCAAGAGGTTCAGTCACATTACACCAACTAAGACTCAGTTTAGCTTTGTTTAGAATGAGTTTCATGGTGCTCACAACTGCATAAGGTCATATGAGTGCATGAAACAAAAGTTGGATGCATTCACAACAGTTCATAGCTCGACTTGATTTTGGTCAATATTTTGATCAAAATGTAAAACATTTGCGGTAAAAACAACTTTAAGTTTAAAATAACATTTCAAATAACGTAACATTTAAAACTTAAATAATGTTATTCACAATTTGCTGTAAAGGCTTTAGACAAAACTTTACATTTTTGTGATGGACTCTGTATGTTCTTAACTTAATTTCCTTTTATACAAATAAACCAGTTTCTGCAGAATGACTCAAGTTCGTTTTTCTCTCGATTGATTTTCTTCAGTACTATTCTAAATCAAAAGGGCCACTAGTACCCTGAGTTTTTCTAAAAGATGGACTGATCCTGATTCTCTTTTGACCTCTTTAAAACTAGAACTAAGTCTGTTTGTTTGGGTTGAGTTCTTTTTAAGGGTGGGGGGGGGGGGGCAGAAAATTTTTATAATTTGCGTCTCCATCATTTTCAAAGGAGTAAAAAAGAAGAAAAAGCTTGTGATCGACTTACAAATATCTCCTGACTTCAAGCGTGTGGAGAGGTGGCGACATCGAGAGGAGCACGGCTCTTTGGGCATCAAGATGACCTTCCTGGCCCCGTGACCTTGAAGGTAGATCGTCACCTCGCTGCCAATGGGCTGTGAGACAGAGGGAAAGCTTCTAGCTAAAAGCTCCCATTCTCCTTTCGTAACAACTCAAACATACAGTTTCTAATTAATATTGGCTAACCCAAACTGTTACCGCAACCAAAGTCCAGGACCGTTGGCGATCTTCTCTTTAAAGTGCAGTCAACATTGTCCGGGACTGCCAACCATAGTTGAGGAGAACAGTCGTTGTCTTAGACAGGTGAATGTTTGAAATGTGTCACTATGATATAATGTGTCACGACCCAGTGAAATCAGGCGCTCGTCAGTTTTTGGGCATGTGAAGTTATTGGTATCATCTGAAAGCTTATTTATTAGCCTTGCTTTCGATGAATAGAAGTTGAGATATTTGCAATTGAAGGAGGTGGGGGTTGCCTGGTTTCAGAGGTATAATATAAGCGAGAAAATGGCAGCCAAAGTTTCGTAATTTCAAGCACTTGAGAGTCCTTGAAAACAGGAAATTTACATATTTTGTGCACTTGATCAATGTTTTCCAGTAAAGTTCACATGATGTGTTTTTAAACCGACATAAAAGGTGTTGAGCCAAAAAACAAAAATTAGATAAAAACTGACAAGCTAGCGGAAAAATGCTTATCCCTTTTGATTTCATTACTTTGACGGGCACCTGATTTTACCACGATGCCTCACATATAGAAAAAAAATCAAGAGGAGAAACAGGAAATGGATGTTTGGACAGGTGAGTGTCTTGGACAGGTGAGTGTCTTGGACAGGGGGTCATTAGTGCAGGTTCGATCATAAGGCGAACTGGACAATGAAAATGACACGTGTTGGATGATTCAGTCAGAGATAAACTTCTTTTTTTTTTTTTTTGGCTTAGTTTTCGTAGGTTTTACGGCGCTACAACTGCATAAGGTCATATGAGTGCCAGAACATTATAAGAGTTGTTACAAGAGAGTAACAAACATTTAAAAAAAGAAAGGAAAATAAGGACGATAGATGTTTGATAGGAAAGAAGAAGCAAACCACACCAAAGCACCCACCAACCACCCACAGATAAACTGTGTGAGAGTGAAAAACTACAATGCTAAAACAGACAGTTTTAGGTTACCCACCAGTTCATAAGCGTTGGACTCTGCACCGTCCAGAAGCAAGACTCGGTGAGAATCGAAGAAGCCGTGCTGCCACACCACGGGCAGGGGAAATAACCTCTTGATGGCCGAGCAGCCGATGTAGTTCCTGGTAAGCCTGTCAGGTAGGTTGGGGAGGAGTTTAGTTCTACCTTTAGATAGAGTTTTACGGTACTTACAACAAAAATAGGTCATATAAATGCTGAAGATTATAAAGGTGTTACCTGAGAGCAACAAACAAAGTAAAGAAGGATGAGAGATGAGTTTTTAGTAAGAGTTTTATGGCTCTTGCAACACAGTAAGGTCATATAAGTGCCGAAGATTAGAGGTGTTACAAGAGAGTAACAAACACAAAAAAGAAGGAGGGCAGATAAAGATGATAGATGTTAGATAGGAAAGAAGAAGCAAACCACACCAGCGCACCTGCCAACCACCCACCAAGTAGGTTTGGGAGGAGTTTAGTTCTACTTTTAGTAAGAGTTTTTGGGTACTTGCAACACAAATAGGTAATATAAATGCTGAAGATTATAAAGGTGTTACCAGAGAGCATTATACAAAGTTAAGAAGGATGAGAGATGAGTTTTTAGTAAGAGTTTTACGGTTCTTGAAACACAGTAAGGCTGTCCTCGTTGTTTTATGAAAGAAAAATTCTAAAATTATGCAAACTGAGCCCAAAAACGTGAAATTATGCGAGTCTGTTAATTTTAACAAAGAACGATAAACGAAAATAATCAGAAATTATGAAAAGAATTATCAAATTTTGCTGGGACGGGTAAGGTCAAATAAAAGTACCAAAGAATAAGTGTGTTACAAGAGAGTAACAAACACAAAAAAAGGAGGAGAGTTAAAAAAGATAGATGCTTGATAGGAAAGAAGGAGTACCGGTACACCACATCAGAGCACCCACCAACCACCCACTTAGTTTTACTTTTAGTAAGAGTTTTTGGGTACTTGCAACACAAATTAAATAGCTTGTATAAATGCTGAAGATTAAAGGTGTTGCCAGAGAGCAACATACAAAGAAAATAAGGAGGAGAGATAAGGACGACAGACATTTGATAGGAAGGACAGAAGGCAAACTATAACAGAGCAACCACCAACCACTCACAAATTTCGGGAGGATAAAAACCCAACTCAAAACAACTATTGACACACTGATGAGATGATGCAAACTTTAACATGTGAACAGAAAGTTTGTAGGGCAGAGGCAAAGGAAAAAAAGAATAAGACATAATAAAAGAAGTGACGCTAAAATTTGGCGAGTACTGTCATGAAGAACTGATGAAAAATGCTGGTGTCAGTGTTGAGGTGAGGTACTCACTATCCCGTCACATTACCATACTCAATCTCTGAGTCATGCACTTGAGAGATTGGTTTACAACTGGAACTATTCACTCTCTCTTTGTCTTTTTTTAGGAAAGTTTTACGGCGCTCGCGACTGCATAAAGTCATATAAGCGCCAAGGCGTGGATGTCAACAGAGAACCAAACGGGGAATCAGGCTTACTCTGCTTGCTAACCTCTCTAGCCTCAACAGCACAAAGTCTGCTTCTACTATCAAGGCCCCCGCAAATAGCAGTTCACAAGAGAGTGACAAACATACAAAAGAAGTAAAGAGAAAATGACGATAGTAAGGATGAGGAAAGAAAAAGCAGCAGTTCCCCCTAAGTGGTTCAACAAACAACAACAGAAACAACCGAGATTTAAAATACCATTCCAGGTGAGCAGTTGGGTTATTCACGACAGCATCAAAGATCTGCGGCTTGGTGAGATCCTGCAGGTTACTGACAACGTCAAGGTTACAGCTCACCACACTGGGGACAGCACCAAGTATTCCAGAAAATTCTACAAGCTCCCTGCGTAGATCTGTCACTGAAGCATGGCCGCTCCATTGCTGGAGAAAAGGCAATAAAAACCCCAAGGTCAGTCAGTCAGTCAATATACATGATATTAATAATACATTACATTTATACAGTACATTTCCACTGGGAAAGTGTTAGGTGCCTTTTACTTCTATTTCTTACAGCCTTCTTCTTGGCAGGCTCACCTCGAGAGGAAAATTTGGCCTATGTGGCAACCAGAACATTCTGTTTTGTTCTAAAGTTAACACAGAACTTTTCCCTTCTTTTGCTTATTACCCTGTGTATAAATACTTTCTAAGTTTAACAAGCTAAAAATTATGAGTAAAGAAAACAAAGATACCCGTAACACGATTGGCTGTGCGTCAATGAGATACGGAGTGAGGGGCAAATTGTGATCACGACCCAGATCCTCTTTAGCTGACAGGATATACTTGACCCGCGAACACGTGCACTCCTCCTTCGGCGAGTCTTGCTTCCACAATGTCAGTAAAGGATTCTTCACGTAGCACTCTTGTAAATCTGAAAGTGGATGGAATAGGTTCACACACAAACCAGTGAATAACATTACAAACCATTTCATGGTTCTGACACTATAACTTGAATGAGTGTTATGTTGTGATTTCTCTGCCAGCAACATATCAAAGCATTATACTGCCTATATTGAGAATAGCATTTAACTTGCTTAGTTGGTCTCAGAATAAAGTTTTAACCATTTTGTAGTCAATGAAACCTTAAAATGAATATTTACATCTAATTTGAGTTACTTTGAAATACTGTATTATTATAAATTATACGTTGGAGCAGAGAGAGGACTTTTAAAATCAAGGCACAATCCAAACATGCGATAGCAGAGAGAAACGCAAAGCTCCAATAGAACAGACAACAAAAACTGTGAAACTCTTAAACTATCAAAATAAGTAAGCTTCTCAAACCAAAGTGCTGCATTGTGTTACAAGTCAAAGCTAAAATTATAATGCCTGAGCGTAATCTCAAAATTACACATCTTTAACAATAGTAGCGGCTGTCAACATTTTTTCCTTCATGTAGTCTGCAAAAAGGATGTAAAAATTTATTTATTACAATTCCCTATTATTATGCTATGACCCATTCTAGTTGGGGGGGGGGACAAACAACTATTCCTGGGAGTTACCACAAAGCAGTCCCCGAAAAAGCAAACAATTTAGTGATCGGGTAGTTTATATAAACAACTCAGTAAGTATAAGATTACTAAACTTTACCTTTATTTGTGGCTAGGCCCAGAGACGTTGACAACAGACGAGCTGGTCTCAGGACCAAGTGGTAGGCTATGTCCATGAGAGGAGGGAAGGGAGAGCTTGATGGTACAACGCCTGCCACAACCGTGTGGACAGTCTTCGTTAGTCTGTTCGTTACAGCCAGATGCTGGGCCTGACTGCTCACAAGGTAAGCTAAAATGACAGCCATGAAGGTGAAAGCGGAGAAACAAATCCATCTTGTTCTATTAGAAGACTGCCTTTTTCTCGCCACGTGAGCCTTAGAGACAGCACCTGACACTACATTTGTTCTCCTGTCATTTTTTTGTGTGCTGGTCGAGTTACAGCTAGGTTGAAAAGCCTCGTGGACCAAGCACTGGAATCGTATTTGAGAAATGTCTCGATTCGCTTGTAGAAAGTTGGATATTTCCTCAACGAGGCTCTCATATGTGACATTATCATCTTCTACAGCAGCTGGCACACTGTAGGCCATGATCACAGAAAAGCTGTAATAAGTTATTGCCTGTCAGCCTAGCAAATAATCTATTCTGTCTTTTTCAGCTGTAACCGACACACTCTGCAGTTTTGGGATTCAAAATCACTCGTCAGCTATGACTTGACGACTAAAGAAAAATTATTATTGTTCTGTTACTGTACGTGAAAAATAAGTTCACTTTAAAGTGTTGTAACGACTTTCTCATCTGTGAAATAAATACCGCACTGACAGAGGATTCTGCATATAGGCCTAATAAACAGGCAGTGTCTTCAGCAGAATTCCTTTCCCATCCGACCAATCTTTGTGTTGTACAATCAAAGCAGAAATCTGAGGGAGAGGAGATCAAGGATGAGGAAGCTGAATTTTATTTTTAACAATAGATTTATAAAGTGAATATTTATCAAGTTGGCACATATACAGGCTTAAATGATCCATGGCAATGGGCCTAGGATAATATACTTTTAACCAGAATACGTGATCATAAATTCATCTTCAGCCTAGGCTAGGAGTTAAAATCTCTTTTTGCGGTTGGCAGTTCATCATCATGTTTATCATAGTTCATGCCATCATTATTCACATGGTCCTATTCACATTTACATTTTTGGAAGTGGCTTCTATCCTCACCTGGGGTGAGAATTTAAAAAATATGATCTACCTTTCACCCCGGGTGAGACTTGCCAGCGTAGGCTATTCTCACCCGGTGGGAAACAAGACCTGTTTTTCCTCATTTCGGAATACTGTCTATATGTGTGGATGATCAAATTGATAAAAGCCAAGAAAAAATTAGGTTATATAGCACAATTTAAGTAAGCTAATTTGATCGTCTTCAAAGATGCTATGGCTATTTCACTTTTCGAATCGAGCTGAACTACGCGGGTCGCCATTTTGTTTTGCATGGAAGTTCTCGCAAGATCTACTCCTCCCCTCTCTCTCTGTCTCTTTCTGAATACTGTGTATCGGTGTGGACGATCAAATTGACTAAAACAAAGTTAAAAAATGATGTTAAAAAACAAAACTAAATTAATTTGGTCATCTACAAAGATGCTACAGGGGGCTGTTGTGGCCTAGAGGTTAAGGTGTTGGCCTCTCACTCAAAAGGTCCCGGGTTCGAATCTGGGTAGCGACCGAAAAATTTTCTTCTCTAAATTTGTCTCCTTTCAACTCATTTCCTGCTCTCTAGCAATTATGTTCTGTTGTCTGCTTTTGTCTCCTCTTTCTGCCCCCACCCCCTCACCTCCTATGCCCCTTCCTCTGGGCTCTGGGCTCCTGATTCTTTCTGCAGTCTTCTACTGCTACTCCTTCACTTCTTCTTACTGCTGTCTTTCAGCCACACCCCTGATCTTCTGGTAGGTAAGATCTACACGCTAGTCTTCTCGGACAAGGGCGAAAAATCTCGGAGGGCCCGTGTGCAAGTTGCGCACGTTAAAGACTATCTCTTGGTGGTCTAAAATCGATAAGAGTAGGCTTCGGCCGCCACCTGGGCAAAATTCAGTTGACATTTCCTGCCAACTGAAAATATTAGGTGCGTCCCGCGCGCTGACCTATGCAGTTGCGAATGCCGTAAAACACTTTACAAAAACAAACAAAAACAAAAAGATGCTGCGGCTATTTAACTTTCCGAATCGTGCCGAACTACGCGGGTTGCCACTTTGTTTTGCCCGGAAGTTCTTGCGCTACTCCTCTCTCTCTCTCTTTCTCTCTCTCCACTGCCCACAGACAAAATTGCACGCTTTTAGGCTACAAAGGCTAACACTAACAGTTAGTAATAGATCTCGAACGTTTGTTCACAGCACAGAATTCTACAATTCTGTAATCACAGTGTAGAATTCTGTGGTTCAGGGTGAACGCTTCACTGGTTGGCCTAGGCTATACTATAACGGTGAACGCCCACCGGGTGAGAAAATATAGCCAATTCAATAGACTCGCCTGCGCTATTCTCACCCGGGGTGAGAATAGAGGAGGCCTTTAGTAAATTTACATTTAAATTTTGACTATGACGACAATGAAAACACACATGTGAAAAAAAATCGAAAGAGGGAAGGCAGCCATATGGAGCTTACCTGCCACAGCTTCCACCCACAGCACTAATAGATTTAGTACGTAAGTGTACAGTAATACAAGAACTAATTACAAACCACACCTAAACCTACAACAACAGACAACAGCTGGCTGTTGTGTCGACTGCAAGCAATGATTGAGAGTTATCTTCTCTTTTAAAAACAGTCAGAGTTAATTCCCTTCGTTTTCAACTTTCAATCAACAACGCATGGGGAACAAAATCTTCCCACAACAACTTGATTGAATTATTTGAATTGAAACTTGTAATCCTTGGAAGGTATTCTAAGTCTGAATTTTTCTATCTTTTTTATTAGAGCAGTCTGGAGACATTTCTCTTTCTGAAGGTCTTGAGCAATAAGTCCTATATGAGGTCTGTGGCTTCTGCTGCAATTGAGTACAGATATAATCTCTTTCGGATTTGTCTGTGTTGGGAGTTCAGTAGGCTAGATTCTTGGAGGTAAGAGTGAGGAGTGAAGGGTAGCCTAACAACTCCTTTGCCCCCTCCGCTGGGCTCCTAACTCTTTCTGCAGCCATTCTACTGCTACTCCTTGGCTCTTTCTTACTGCCGTCTTTCAGCCACACCCCTGGTTTTCAGGTAGGAAAGATCTAATCTAGAATCTAGAGTACATCCTGTGGTGCGATATACAGTAAGCGATCTTTTGTGGATATCTCTGGAAGTTACAGGTCGATCTTCATGATTTTTTCACCAGAAGTTAGAAAAACTTCCTCTCTATACGGTGTAGCGCATTACTGTAACAGCAGTTTAAAATTTCTATATGTTGTGGTGGTGTTTGTTTGGTAACGTGTGTCTGGTTTGGTGCGCAAGGTTTCTGGTTTGGTGCAACATATCGTCTTGTTTGGTGCGCAATAGTACCATGTTTACAGCTCTAGATCTAGATCTAGCTCTTTTCTGACACTTTTCATCTTTCTCTATCCTTGCTTTGTCTTCTTTTCCTTGCAAGAAGTTCCTGTACTGACCATAATGGAAGGCCAAGGTCTATTAGGCGTGTTCTTTTTGGGAGCTGTGCGCCCCCTGACAGGAGATTTCCTTACACCTTGTGTATGTGTTTTGATAATGGATAAAAAGAAAGGTGCTGTGGACACAAGAAGGGGAAAGAAGAAAACAAGAATAAGACTATACCTAGACTAGTATTTTAGAAGGAAAAGGACAAAAAAGAAGAAGAAAAAGACGTGAAAAGAAGAAATTGAAAAAGAAAGGTGCTGTGGACACAAGGAAGTGAAAGAAGAAAACAAGAATTAGACTATACCTAGACTAGTATTCTTTAAGGAAAAGGGCAAAAAAGAAGAAGAAAAAGACATGAAAAGAAGAAATTGAACATTTTGGAGATTATATTTCCATATTAATTAATTTTGACATGAATACATTAACTTATCATCTTCCAATGGCAATATAATGCATCCAAATGGAAGGAAAACAGTCTGTTTCAGTGCACAATGCAGGTCATAGAGAAATAACTTAATAAGTAAAACAAACAAAGGGCCTAGAAGCCACACTATCAATGCCAAATAGCAAAAAAGCCGATATTGCGCACGAAACGGACTGCCCAAATTTGGTCCTCTTCAGTGCGCAACCCTATCTAACACGTTCCTGGGCATTAAGAAGCAGCCTGCGATAGTATTTATCGATTCTAGTATACATTCTACGATACATTAGAGCTAGATTAGCTAGATGTGCTAAATAATCGACTACTCAAGCGCTTAGTAAATTGATCGATACCGGTTACGAAAACCATTAATATGAAGGGGCAAAACTTTCCGACACCGTAGAATCACGTGTGTTGACAGGAACCTCCAAAACGAAAGTGAAATAAGCTGCATTCTGCGCATGCTCACAGAAAATGACCTCGTTTTCGCTGTTCTTATCCAAAACAAAGCAGGAGACCGGGGGTTGCGCACCAAAACAGTAGCGCGGTGATGCGGGCCTACTCTAGATCTAGATCTAGATTCTAGATGTGGGAGGACTTCCGTAACGAGCGAAAAATCTCGAAGGTCCTGTGTGGAAGTTGTGCACGTTAGATCTAACGATACCTTGGTGGTCTTAAGTCGATAAGAGTAGGCTTCGACGTTTAATGTTTCCCGCACGCTCTTATGACCTAGATCTAGATCAATGCAGTTGCGAGCGCCATAAAACACTTCCAAAATCAAACGTATAGATCAGCAGATCTAGATTTATCTAGATCTAGAAGTAGGTCAGGCTCAAATAAGGGGGGTGGGAACTACCGAAAAAGCAGCGATTCTAGATCTAGATGTCTAGATTCTAGTTGAACTTTCTGGCGTTTTTTTGCTTTGTTTAGTTTAGTCCTCAGTTGACTTATTAAATGGTAGAAGAGGTAACCACAAGCCTTTTGTCTTGTTTGTCTGAGTCTATGCACACACCATTGCGAGCACAGAAATTCAAATTTTGCTATAGGCAGGCCAAAGGCCTACTTAACGCAATATCATGCAAGGTATCATAGTTCGAAGTAACTATTCGGACTCGAGTCCGAATAGCAAAAAATTATTTTCGCCAACATGACGTCCATTCTGACTTTCGACCCTTGTTCCTAAATATTTCCAGCATTTACGAACTTTTTTTCGATTATAATGATAACAGTCGAGACATGAGCTTCTATCCAGTTACTAGATCTAGATCTATCTAAACTGGCCCTCCCTGCATCAGTCTAGTATGAACAGAACGACTAAGTTGAGCTGACCTTGCCGGGGGCAAAGGTAATTCACAAATGTCGATCAATGTGACTGCGCGTAGCAATCTCGCACTTTCAGCTTGCTGCTGGAAGAGGTGTTGGGAAGAGGCCATGGCTGTCGGTTTTGTGTGATGTGATAAAAAATAATAATAAACAGAAAAACTATTTATAATAAAATACGACGAAATAAAATTTACTTGGGGAAAGACAAATGGTGGTAGAAGTAATGATGATGCTGTAGTGGTGGCGGAAAGACCCTGAGTTGTCGGTTACCGTTTACTTAGACCTGCCATTGGGTAGATCTATTTGAGAGTGCAGTCTTTTGACTCTTGACCCAGTTCTAATTCTCAGTTCTGATTTAACGTAAAATCCCCCGACGACATTTATATAATGTAACCTCCTTCCCTCACATAACTCACTTGGAAGCTGAGTCTGAATAAATAAAACCTTTTATTCAGACACGAGTCCGAATAGATAAAACCCATATATTCGGACTTGAGTCCGAATAGATATAAAAATTATATTCAGACTCGAGTCCGAATAGATATAAAAATTAATTATATTCGGACTCGAGTCCGAACAGAGCTGGCCATCATAGTTTGCTATGCACGCATGCAATTGTATGACACGTTGAGTCTTTGTGCTGTCTGGTTCGGACTGTCGTACGTACCGAACTGGAAGAAGGGTCATTGATTCTACAATAATAACAATAAGAAAAAAAAGCTACTAATTAAGTGATTTGAAGGAGGCCACTCAGAGTTACATTCCATTATGTTACGCAACCTCTCATTTTCTGTTTTTCTGAAGCAGTTTTCAGCTGAAAATCTGAGGAATCTTCCAAAAAGTCTGAAAAGTTAATCTTTTAGAACTGTTGTGTACGGAGGCTGCATGGTTTCTGAACTTCTTGTAAGGTACAGAGTGAAGACTCAGGTTTTTTAATCAATTCTTATCCTCTCGCCTTTTTCTAAAGCCTGTTTAGGTTGCATGACAGAAAAGCAGGAGAAACATAATATAATTCTGAGGGGCAAACTTAAAAAAGAGGGAAATCACTGAATTGCGTGCATGGCAAAGTGTGATACCTTGCCCATAATTGCGTGATGTAGCAAAAAATGTGTTGGTGTGCGCAATTTCAATTGCGTGCGTGTATAGGAAAAAATGTGTTACATTGCAGCAACGCAATTGCATGCGTACGATAGACACTCCCGTCTTGTTGTCTAGAAGTCCTGATGTTGACTTGGGGTCTCCTCGCTCAAACTCAAATTTAAATCTGAATCTTAGAATACTTAGATACCACAACTAAACTAGGCTTCTATTATTTTAGTGAGCCCGATTTTCCCGATTTCTGTTTTACAAGTAGTGCCTGTTATGTGTGTGGTTGGCGGGTGCTCTGGTGTGGTTTGCTCCTTCTTCCTATCGAACATCTATCATCCTTATTTCCCCTTCTTCTTTTTTATGTTTGTTACTCTCTTGTAACACCTCTAATCTTCTGGCACTCACATGACCTTATGCAGTTGTGAGCGCCGAAAAACCTCTACTAACACTAAAACTAAGTGACTGTTAACAGGTTGGAAGTTTGATAATAAGCCTCGGCTTTTTAAAAAAAATGATTACTACTTCTGAACTTTCTGTGATTCTCTTTTCTGACTGTCTGTTCCTGTACACGTCCTGCTTGCTCCCTACTACTATTAGGCTACTAATTAAATTTCACTAAGTTATTATATATTATATATGATGAAGTATTAAGCCTACATTGGACTGTTTTAATCTTATAATGCCAGTCAGTCTATATAAATAATATATTGATCTAGCCTAGCTTTTTCACTTGTCTGTCCATGGTTAAAACAAACTACTGTTGGGGCTCTGCTCTATCTGTTCAGGTCACAGGTCTTTGAATCTAAAAATGGCCTTGGCATTAAAATGAAGTTCACTGCAAATTGAAGTTCCAAGATATTTTCTTTGATGATAGTCAGCCTAAAACTAGCTAAAATATTTTTTAAGCCTACAGAGATGAAAGACGAAAGTGAACAGACTATTCTATAGGCCTAATCTAGTAGGTATGCTCTTAAAAAGACAGATGGCATTTTCACCCTTGCTTGATTATAGAGATGTTCTTCTTTGTCTTTGTTTATATTCATAATTTTTGACAACTTTTGAATCTTTTTTTCCAGTGTTTTATGAACCGGCAGTGTCAAAGCTGAGAGGAAAATGAGAGAAACGCCTTTGTCCAATTGTGAAAAGGAATTTATTCTAAACAACATCAAGGAACACAGAGTATGTACTGGAGCGTAAATCTGTTGCCTATATTAATATTTTCTCAACCTTTTTTGTCGTGTGAATGGACCTTAAATATTTTTTTGTGATGCCAGCTTGAAAGGTAAAAATATTAAATACAATAAATGTTTGCATTAAACAATCTTTCGGAAAAGAATTATAATATAGCAGTCTTTTTGTAAAAGTAAAATCAGTGGTAAAAAGCTTTGTCTTCTTATTTTGAGAGTGAACAGAAACAAATGCATTTCGAGACTTACGAATGTCTCATTTACACATTTGTGTCACGACGGGGTGGAATCAGGCGCTCATCAATTTTTGGGCATATCGGGTTTGTCTCCTGAAAGCTTATTCTTTTGCCTTGCTTTCAGGGAAAAAAATGTTCATCTAGCTTGAATAGAGAAGTGGAGATATTTGCGATTGACGAAGGTGGGGTAGCCTGGTTTCAGTGATTAAATGAATGAGAAAATGGCCGCCAAAGTTTGGTAACTTCAATTTCTTAAAAGAAGAGTCCTTGAAAACTGAAAATTACATCTTTAAACAAGGTTTTAGTTTTTCAGTAAAATTTATGAAAATGTGTTTTTTTATATGACCACAGTGTTTAGCCAAAAAACAAAATTTCAATAAAAATTGGCAAATTGTTGGAAAAATGCCTTTTTCTTCGATTTCATTATTTTGATGAGCGCCTGGTTTCACGACGATGCCTCACATATTATTTTATGTTTCTAACTTACCTTTTTAAAAAGTTAAATCATGTGGTGCTCTGTGTCATCCAGACCTCGAGCAATTGTTGCCTCATCTCAACTCACACTCAATGAATGGAACAACAGGGACTTATGATAAACTGACTCTTTCTCTTTGTTTCATGATGTCTTCTTTCCCAGAGGCTGGATGGCCGCAACGCGTATGACTACCGTGACATTCGCATCTCGTTCGGAGTCAGTCTCGGCTGTTGCCATGTCGAGATGGGAAAGACCAAGTAAGTTTTGGACTTATAAACCATGTGTATGTGTGTGTGGCATCGTGGTGAGATCAGGGCTTGTGAACCATTTGTGTGTGTTGCAGACCTGCCACTCCTCTGGATTTAATTTCTCCAGTTTTTGTCCCAAAGCTCTAGCATCATGATTTTCCAGATTTCAATACCGTATATCCCGTTTTTTTTCGGTTGAGTCTGTAGCGCTGGATTTTTCTAAAAACTTACTGTGAGTTTATCTCTATAGTACTGTCAGATTTATTTTTGTTTGAAGTTAGTTTGGTTGTGACTTAGGCTACTTATAGACTTCCTGATAATCTTGAATATTTCTGTCTTTTGGTCTTTTACAAGGTTTTTTTTTTTTGTGTGTATGTATGTTAGAAAATTTTAGTTGGTTCGGTTTGGTTGATTGTTTTAACTTTTATTTTTCAACTGTTTGTAATTTCAGGTGTTTTAGAAGTTGTCAACTTACTATAAAAAGTTCTTATATGTATTCTTCTTTCTCTGATAATGGATTTTTTTTAAAAGAAGCTACAATTTTTTTTTTAAAATCGATTTTAAATGTGACTGACCCTTTTCTCCATAGTTAAGTCTATTTAATGACCCACACTAACCTACTTGCTTCTCTGCAGAGTTCTTGCCCAAGTCTCCTGTGAAGTGGGTCAACCAAAACAAACGCGGCCTCACGATGGAGTGTTGTTTGTGAATGTTGAGTTGTCTCCCATGGCAAGTCCAGCGTTTGAGCAAGGAAGGTGAGCAGTTGTCATGAGTGTACATCAATAGCTTTGACCTAATTGGCCAAGTGTGTTATAATGCATCAAGGTCGTAATGTGACCTTCTTGTAAACAAAGAGCCACTTCCGTTATTACTCATTCTCACACAGATCTTGTGCTTGTTTGTGAGCACGTTTCATAATTATTCGTCAAGCTATAACAGTGACCTTCTTCTCACTGTGTGCGCTGCACAGAGAACTACTTTGTATTGTATCATTTTATCTGTGTGTAATTTTTCTGTATTAACTACTGTGTTCTTTGACTTGTATATAGTGAAAGTTGGGTACTACAATTCCTGATTCAATGAAAACTTGGATTCAGTGAAAGGAGACGTATTCCATATTTTTAAAAAATCATTAAAATCAGCAAACTAACATTGATTCTTCGAACACGGACACAGATTTTTTTTCACCCTCTCCAGCCCACCCAGTAGAAATGGGTACCTGACTTCGAGTTGTGGAAGTAAAGGCAGCGTGCAAAAGAACTGGCCACCCTACCGCGATATGCCGATGGCCCAGGAAGTTGTCTCACTAACACGGCAATCCCCAATGTCCGGATCGGATGTGGGAACAACTTTACTTTTGTCCTATTGCGTACATCTTATGCGTCCAATAAAAAGCCTTCTCACCTACCAACACATACTTTGTTGATGAACATGTAAGACATGATATGTCATATGTACCGAGTCTGGAGAGGTTGTATGGGTGGCCAGGACACGTGTGGCTGTTACTGTACGTGCCAAGAGGAATGGGGGGGCGTAGGATAAAGTGTTCCAAGCTTGAAACATCAGCAAAGATGCAGTCGCATCACAATCATCATCCCCCACTCCCCCTCCCCTCCTTCATCCTCCCCGGCTACTGAGCAATGACAAGCTGGCTTAGACATAAAACTATGTAACTATGTAATGAGTCTGTGGAACAAAAGATTGACTTATGCTAGAGTCTCCTCTTCAACGCAGCATGCTGCTTACATTGCTATAATGAACACTCGAATTCTCAACAAATCTGAGGCCAGGCCCCATGACTTCGTTATTATTATCTATCCGACTTTCACTTTATTCTTGTGCTGTTCACCCATGCTTCAGTGTGCCTTGATTATCCTCACCCCATTGTGGCTGGTGTAGCAGGCAAGGATGGGCACAGTGCTAATGATGTTTCCACTTTGGTGAGAGCTGTCTTTAAACTTGCACTCACCGGGATCTAGTCACATTTGGTTTCTCTTAGTCTGTTTATTGTTTGTGTTTGCTGAGTTGAATCATGCTCTGCCCTCTGCTGACAAAACGCCTTTTTGGCTTCCTTATAATAATCTGTTGAGCATAGGTAATAATATTCTCTTCAGGGTGCGAGATCAACTGTTGAAGTACTGTGCAAAATAGTGTAGAATTATTAGAAAACCGAAAACTGCTGGTATCTCAAAACTGCTGTGAATAAGAAAAAGGCATTTTGTCAGTGTAGGGCAGTGCTGTGACTTGTACATTTTTCCCCAGGCCGTCAGAGGAAAGTGTGGAGCTCTCCCGCCTGATGGAGAGGTGTCTGAAAGAGTCGCGCTGTGTGGACTTGGAGTCTCTGTGCATTGTGTCGGGGGAAAAGGTGAGAAGGAAGTCTGGGTCATGTCAAAGTTTACTTCACAGACAGGGTCAGAAGCCTGCCTTCTAAATGATCTGAGTTGTGTAGATGGCCGATGGGAAAGTTTAAAAAATCTGCATTTAAAAAAAGAAAAAAAAGTTACCCTTTCAAGGACAAAATTGTTTTACTATTCATCAAGTCACATAAATTGTGTGTACGTAAGTCATGTAAATGTTGTGTACTCTCTGTGATGATATGGCGAGGGGAGAGTGGTGAGAAGAGCTGACCGTACCAATAGTGGCAACTTTTTCCTTCTCTATCTCATAGCTGCCAGCCAGTTCATAAAAACCTGCAACATATTTACTATGTTTTTGAAGGTCTTGATATAAGGAAGTCTATTTTCATACTTTTATATATGTTCTTTTCTGTTATCTATAATTGCTACTCCTGGACTTATCAGTGATAAAGAAAAGTTATAAACTGTCAAGACCAGATTTTTGCTAAATAATAAGAACAAAGACCATAACTCTATACTCGTGTTTTTTACTAGAATTAAGCGTGTAGCGTGAATTTGTTGAACGCAGAAAATTGTGTGCTGAGGGTACAGAGGCCGGTCACTTGACCAGTGCCCACCTTCTTGATCCACCCTGTGAGAAAGCTTTTTTGTTCTTTTTTGTTGAAAAATATCATCAGCTATACTTGTATCTGAGGGTGGTTGGGGAGTGCTCATGTGTGGTTTGCTCCTTCTGTCCTATAAAACATCTCTCATCTTAATCTCTTCTTTTTTGTGTTTGTTACTCTCTTGTAACACCTCTAATCTTCGGCACTTATATATGACCTTATTGTGTTGCAAGTGCTGTAAAACTCATACTAAAACAAAAGCAAACTCTTCTATCTTGAATAAAAGTTTTTTCCCCCCCGGGGCGGTGCACTGACTGAAGTGTCTTTAGGCCATTCCCAAAGGGGGGGGGCATTTTTCGTTCTAATTCACAGTAGAATTGTAAATGGGCTGATTTAACAATGTCATGCTCATAACTGTGCCTGAACTACAACAGGGAACTGCCGCTATTTCTTCCCTAATCCTTACTATTGTCATTTTCCACAACTTCTTTTGTATGTTTGTCACACTCTTGTGACCCGCTATTTCTGGGGTGCCTTGATAGTCAAAGCAGACTTTGTGCTGTTGAAGCTAGAGAGGTGAGCAGAGTAAGTCTGATTCCCTGTAAAGACTTCTCTGTTGACACCCACCCCTTGGCGCTCATATGACCTTATGCAGTTGCGAGCGCAGTAAAACCTCTACTAAAACATAAACAAAAAGTTTTTGTTCTGCCTTTGTTGTGTTCCCAGGTGTGGCATGTGCGGGTAGACATCCACGTGTTGAACCACGAGGGGAACATTCTGGACTGCTCCAGCATCGCGGCCATCTCAGCACTCGCACACTTCAAGTGAGTTTTGCCGGGTGACTGCCAGGCCACAGGAATTCAAAATAATTTTTTTATATCGCGGAGATCCGGGCATGTCCTGGGAATTTGAGAAGCATGTCCCTTTATTGTTATGTTATGTTTTGTACCCTTGGAAAGTGGATGCGCCCCCCCCCCCTCCCCCTTCCTGGAAAATTGAGAAGCTGGTTTGGCAGTTACCCTGGTTTTGTCTCACCTGCCAACCACTCCTTCACCAATCATTGGAGTTTTTCTTTAAAAAAACCTTAAGAGTAATTTAAGTTGAAAAGAACCCCCCCCCCCCCTCCCCCCGAAAAAAAAAAAAGAAAACCTACAAAACAAAACAACAGAGGTCTCCAGAACCCCAGTAGATTAAGATTAAGTAAAGGACCGACTGTGGCAAATGCACATACAAAAACACCCCCTAAAAAATGTGTATTTTCATGTTGTTTACAATAAATTGCTTAATTGCTTTTGCTGCTCCTTCATGAGTTGTTCACCAGTTCCTCGTGATTCGGTGCTGGCCTTGTATTCAGTGACATTTTTTTTTCGTCGCTACATACCAACAGTCCTGTGTTATCACGTTGATGTTAATCAAATTGAGCACCTTGTCTTCTTGGGTAAACAGGAAAATTTCAGAGGTCCCGTGTTCACATTAAAGATCTTTTGGTGGTTGAAAGTCATGGAAGAGTAAGAAGGTCGCCACCCGGGCAAAATTCAAGATTAAAAGAATTTCCTACCTTAAAAAAATATCCGTACCACACCTGTAAAATATTAAGACACGCTTTTACCCCTTCCTGCATTCCCAATATATAGACCATGTCTCTCCTGTAGGGCATTTAAAGAAAGTCAAGATCTGAAGGGAGGGAAGTAGTACTTGGGCAATCTACTTCCTCTACGTCTACCACTGAAGAGTGCGTACAGCTCTAAGATCGTCTGACTAGAGGCAAAATGCTCTCTTCATCATTAATACTACAGGCCCTCATTGGAGTTTAGAAACAATAAACTTACTAAGATCAGCCATTTATTGTCAGATGTTGGTAAAGTGAAATCAAAAGTAACCCAAAGTGGGTAGTTGGTGGGTGCTCTGGTGTGGTTTGCTTCTTCTTTCCTATCGAACATCTATCGTCTTTATCTCCCCTCCTCCTTTTTTATGTTTGTTACTCTCTAGTAACACCTCTAATCTTTGGCACTTATATGACCTTATTGTGTTGCAAGTGCCGTAAAACACCTACTAAAACTCAAGTAGCCCAAATGTCTAAGATTTGGTTCCGGTTTCAATTTCAGACGACCAGATGTATCAGTGCAGGGAGAGGAAATAACTATTGTAAGTGTTTGTGTGTGGGTTATTGTAAGTGTTTGTGTGTGGGTTATCGTAGTAAGTGTTTGTGTGTGGGTTATTGTAAGTGTTTGTGTGTGGGTTATTGTAGTGTTTGTGTTTCTTTGTGTGTTGTTACTCTCTTGTAACACCTCTAATCTTCTGGCGCTCATATGACCTTATGCAGTTGCGAGCGCTGTAAAACCTCTACTAAAACAAACAGACATAGTTATTGTAAGAGTTTGTGTGTCACTGTGTGTGGAAAGTGTTATTGTAAATGTTTGTGTATGGATTATTTGTAAGTGTTTGTGTGTGGGTTATTGTAAGTGTTTGTGTGTGGGTTATTGTAGTAAGTGTTTGTGTGTGGGTTATTGTAAGTGTTTGCATGTGGGTTATTGTAGTAAGTGTTTGTGTGTGGGTTATTGTAGTAAGTGTTTGTGTGTGGGTTATTGTAAGTGTTTGTGTGTGGGTTATTGTAAGTGTTTGTGTGTGGGTTAT